GGCCTCCCCCGTGCTGTGGGAAAGGCAGCTCCTCAGCTATAGCTGCAGTGGACTGAAGACAAGCTCCATCAGAGGCCCTAGCCCCGACCCACCCCCAGCCCTCTGCTTCATCACCAGGCTGTTTACCAGGAGACAGGTGTGCCTCCAGCCCAGTGACCCAGGGCGCCTCCAGTGACCCCGCTGGGTCAGTGACTAGGGCGCCTCCTCTGGAACTAGACCCAGGGTTCCTGATTCCCACTGTTACCTTCTCTTGGTCCCCACACCCATTACAGTCCACCCACTGCCCAACTGGACACAGACGCCCCTGCAAGCAAAGAGGAGGAGAGAGAGAACCTGGGAGATCCCAGGACTTGACTCGGCTGGGGACCTCAGGGATCAGCTCCCACAGCCTCTCCCCTCTCTGGGTGGTAATCCTTTCAGGCACTTCTGCCCCCACTGCAACGCTGCACTGCCCCTGGCTGAACAACGCTCAGAGTTTACAGACTTAGGCCGCCTGCCCCAAACCAAGTGCTTCTCTGCAGTGTCCCTCTGAGATGTGTCCCCTCACTTGTTGGCCACCCCAGCCCTGCCAGTGGCTCCTCCTCCTCCGGACTCTCCCAAGCTTCTAGTGACACCCTCAAGGGACAGGCCAGGCCCCGCGACCGCAGCCCAGGGTTGAACTCTCCCCTCCCTGAGGATGGATTTCAACCGAGCCGCAAAAGTGGCTCAGGATGGGAAAACGGGTCACCTCATATTCCCTGGCTCTCTCTCTTGGGTCCAGGATCTGTTGGGGCAGACAGTTTTTAAGGATGATTAAAGTTACCTCCTGGCATTTAGTATAACAGACTTCGGACCATTTTGCCAGAAGTTTTTGCCCTAGGAGCTTGGGAAAACAGCTTAACTTCTCTGTGCCTTCTTTTTATCATCTGTAAAATGGGAATAATATTAATGTCTGTCTCACAGATGTTACAGTGAGGCATCAGCAAATGTATACAAATAAACTATAGAGTATATACTATAGCCTGGCACTCAGTAAGGGCTATACATGTGTTAATTATTATTATCTCACCACTTTGTGTTCAGACTTTTTGCACCCTCTTGCTGTCACCTCCACCCCCACAGCACCGTGTAACATTCAAAATGGGAACAGCAGGCCTCCTGTGATTTTATTTACTAATGGCTAACATTTATTAAATACTCAGTATGTGCCAGACACTCTTCCAAGCAATAAACATGTGTTAACTCATTTAACCTGCCTGAAATAGTTACTAGCATTAGCTCATTCTATAGCAGAGGTGACTGACGCACAGAGAGGGTAAGCAACTTCCCCAAAATCACACAGCAAGTCCCTGGTAGAGCTGGGAAGTAAACCCAAGCAGTCTGGCTCCAAAGTTGGTGCACTCCATCCCTATGCTTCCACTGCCCTCTCTTACTGGTCAAAGGAAGATCAGTTCAGAGTCCACTGGTACCCTACTAGGGACCCCCACACACACCTCCAGGGGCTGGTCAGGCCCGCCACTACATCCACTTACATATCTATATCTAGTTTCCTCCTTAGGAAGAGTTCGTGACAGATACAACATTTCAGACCTGAAATAGACTTTAAAGCCCACCTCCCAAGGTGCAGATGGGGAAACTGAGGCCAGAGAAGGTGACACACTTTCCAAGGTCACACAATATAGAGCCTGGAGGCTTGCCTGGCAGGAATGGGATGTGTGGCAGATACCTGGTCTG